CTCTCCCTTGACCCCACATGTCCCTTGGTTCTTGTCCTATATACTCTTTAAGGCCAAAGTTCTTGATCTGATTATCTTTTATATCTTGATTTCTTAATTATCCACTCCTCATCCAGATAAATTTGAATTCTGAACCCACCACTCCACCGCCATCTCTCCAAAAACTACTTTATCATCACTGGCACTGGTAACCATCATGTGGCTAAATCCGATAGCCTCTTTTCAGTATTTTTCGTACTTGACTTCTCAACTGTATTTGTGAGTGTTGACCACTCCCTCCTTGTAGAAACACTCTTTGGCTTTCCTTCTTTCTTTTTGGCTAATCTTCTGCAGTCTCCTTTGCTGGCATCTCCTTCTCCATGGAAAGGCTAAGTGTTAGTGATCCTAGGATTCTATCCTGGGTCCTTCGCCCTTCTCACTCCTCATTCACTCCCTAAGAATCTCAAAAATCCCATAGATTCTGTTACCATCTAAACTATAGAGAACTTCAAGCCTTTATCTTCACCCCAGGCCACTCAAATGCACTTCTTACTTGACATCACTACCTGGTTGCTTCATAGACACTTTAAGATCAACACGTCCAATAATGAACTGATTATTGTAGCCTTCCACCTGCTGCCACTGAATTCTCTGAGTGATGGCACTGCAATCCACCTGGTAGCTCAGTCCAGACACCTGTGTGTCATCTTTGATTTCTTCCTCTCTCTCACTCACATTGAATCAATCACAATCACAATTATATCTCTAAAATATCTCTTAGTAGTTCTTGAATTGGTTCACTTCCTTATTCCCATGGTCATTACTTATTTTAAATCATCACATTCTCTTGTGTTACCTACTGCAATAGTTCCTAGTTGCTCTGCCTGCATCCACTATTGCCACCCTCTAATCTATTACCCACATTGCAACTAAGGTGATCTTTTGAAAAGGAAATGTGTCACACCATGCTTAAGAATCTTTAATAGCTCTCCATAATTCTTAGGATTAAAGTCTAAGTCCTTAACATGATCTACAGTGTCTTGCACAATCTGACTCCTCCAATAAGTATATTCAGTTAGGATACCTTTGGTAGAAGGCAACAGATATCTAACTGTGATTGTTAAAGTTGTGTGTCAATTGGCTGGGCCATAATTCTCAGTTTGGTAGTTATGATATAGTTTGGCAGTTGTATGACGATGAGATTTGATATATTGTGATCACCTCCATGATGGGATCTGCTGTGAGTAGCCAATCAGTTGAAAGGGAGTTTCCTCAGGCGAGTGGCCTGCATTCAATATAGGTGGACTTTCTGGCAAGGCTCGCGGGCTTTTGCTCATTCTGAATCCTGCAGCTGGCTCCTATTCATCTGACCTCCAGTTCCTGGGACTTGCCTATCTTGGGATTCGTCAGTCTTCGCAGCCTAGGAGCAAGAGCCCTGCTGTCTGACTTGCCAGTCTTGGATTCGCCAGCCCCTGTGGCTATGTGAATCAGGAGAAGCTTCCAGCCTGATCCACAGACTTGGGACGTTTCAGCCTCTACAACTGCATGAGCCATTTCCTTGATATAAATCTCTCTCTATATTTTTATGCTTTACTGGTCTTGCTTCTCTAGAGAATCCAGCCTAAGACACTAACTAAAAGTGACTTAGTCAATAGGACATTTATTATTTAATTCAGTAAATTAATCCAGTGGTAAGCAGTTCCACAGCTGGCTTAACAGCAAAGTGATGTCATCAAGACTTCAGTCTTGTGTCTGTAGTGTCTCCCTCATGGCAGAAAGATGGCTGCAACAGCTCCAACAATCACATCTACACACAGTGATCTCTAAAAAAACAGAAAAGAAAGGATAGGATTTCCTTCTTTTTACTCTTTATTCTTTTTCATGGAAAGGAAATGTTTCCTAGAAGCCTTCTTCTGCAGACTTCTTTTTGCATCGCATTTATCCAAGTTGGATCACGTGACCACACCTAAAGCAACCACTTGCAAAAGAGAATGAGGTACTGTTATTGACCCAAACTCATTATGACTCATCTGCTCGAACTGGGTACCTCAATTACCTGGAACAATATAATTAGGGTTCTTTTATTAAGGAAGGAGATGATGGCAACTGGATAGGCCAACAGTAGGATCTCCCAAAATAACCATTTTTGGCCACATCTAGTATCACTCTCCCCTTGCTCTCCATGCTCTAAAAAAATTGGTAATTCTTTAAATTCTTGAGTATACTAAGTTCTCTTGGGTCTCAGGTAAAGCTTTTTATATTGCTTTTTTTCTCTTCTTAGGCTCTTCCTAGCCACTACCCCACCACTCCTGACTCAACTTTGTACAATTCAAATCTTAGATCTTAGTTTGGAAGCCTTTCTACACTACATCCATCTAATACTATTGCCTTGTCTATTTCCATAGCACACTGTATTTGCTTTCCTATTTATCCTGCTTATCATTACTCTGAGTGTTAGAGGTAATGGATGTAAGATATCTGGCATGTAGGAGATGATATATATATATATTTATATATATATTTGTTCATTATATATCAATCATAATCTCATGAAATGGGTATTATTCTTTCCATTTGATAGGCTCAGAGAATTTGTTAGCCAAGCTCACATACCAAGTAAGTGCCAGAACCGTTTTTTTATTTGTTTGTTTTTTGGCGAAGGTTTACACAGTAAATTAGGTTCCTGTTTAACGATTTCTATATATATTGTTCAGTAACATTGGTTACATTTTTCACAATGTGTCAGCATTCTTATTATTTCCATTCTGGTGGTTCTGTTTCCATTAATCTTGTTTCCCTGCCCACGTACCCCCCGCCCCCCCGCCTTACATTCTCATCTTTACTTTAGGGTAAATATTGACCGTTTGGTCTCATATAGATGATCATGGGTGATCAG